GGATCGCTATAGAGATCGTATCGAGGATCACTTCTTAACTTAATTAAAAATAAAAAAAAAAATTTTTAAATTAATATATTACGTAATATTTATAGGTTATAGATTTATATATCGAAAATACTACTAGAAATACGACATACGGCGCCGTAGCTGAGTAGCAACGACGTCCCTATCGTCTAGAATTTAAAAAAGAAAATTCTAACGATAGCAAAAAAGAGTGCCTCGAGTGGGATTCGAACTCTCTTTTTTTTAGGCTATTATAGTGGCTGATACGTGATCTAGATCCGATCCGGATCTAAGAAAATCAATAGATCAAGCCTCCGATCTAGGATCAGTTCAGATCTAGTTCAGACCGAGTCCGGATCCTAGAAGATGGAGCCCTTATAGAAGGCCAGTACTGTACTGTAGTACTAGTATCTCCGTTTTATTAGCTTTAAACCTTCTCTTTCCTCCAACCAGTTTCTTTATTTTCTCCCTATCTCTGAACTTTACATAATAGCGCCTACACAGAAGGATATATTAGTGGCCATCTCCTATAGGAATGAAAATATAGTATCCGATACGATTTCGAACCGGCTCCGAACTAGTGTCGAACTGTATCCGAATCGGTTTCGAACTACTAGTATACTTAGGTACTATATAGTAGTAGAACTATATCGGATATGTATTTAATCCCTAAACGGTTTTAAATCGTGGTAATAATATAGTATTAAGCTCAAATACGGTTTAGAGCGTAGAACAGAATTTAAATCGAGTTAGAACTACTATAGGGGCCATACTACTTAGGATCAACATCGTATTAACACCGTATTAACACTATATCAATATCGTAGTAATAATATACTAATACTGTATCAATATCGTAGTAATAATATACTAATACTGTATTAACACCGTACATAGTATTAATACGGTTTTAATACGGTTTTTTATAGTCCTCGATACGGTTTCGAACCGTAGTGAAACCGGTTCTACTACGGCTCTACTACGAATCCGAATTGGTTCTAAACCGGTTTCGATCCGAGTCAGCGTGCTTAACTCGGGAATAAAACTAACGTTTAGAACCGGTTTCGAACCGTAGTGGAATCGATTTCGAGGCTACTAGTACTACTTTAGTAGAATTATATATAATCGAAATAGTTTACGCTTAGCTACATATATGCCCGCCTGATAAGGAATAATCTAGGATCGATATAGGATCGATACTATATTGACCCAACTCCGACCCTGCTCCGATCCTACTACTCGAGAATCACTATAGGATCCCTATAGGATCCCTCATAGGCTAACTAACGTATCGGAGATTACTATAGGATCACTTAATATATCGAGTATAACTGAATTTTTAAAAACTTGATTTTTTTAAGTTTTTTTTAAAAATATATACTACGTAATATTTATAGATTATAGATCATGTGGATAAGTCTCGAAAATACTACTTTACAGTACTGGCCACCTGCAAAGGCTTAATCTATTGATTTT